GACAAAACCAGAGGAAATGGCCGGAAACTGAAACACCAAAAGTTCCACAGGAACTTAAGGAAAAATTTCTTAACGGTGAGGGTGACAGAGCACTGGAACAGGCTGCCCAGAGAGGTTGTGGAGTCTCCTTCTCTGGAGATCTTCAAAACCCACTTGGACGCAGTCCTGTGCCACGTGCTCTAGGTGACCCTGCATGTGCAGGGGGGTTGGACTAGATGATCTCTAGAGGTCCCTTCCATCCTTAAGCATTCTATGAATAGAATATAGAGACAAAAACGCTACAAAATGTGTTTGATGTGTAGAATAATAAGTGCTCATTCTCATTTGAATTTAAGCTGTCCAAGACAAAGTAGAATAAGTAAAATTTATTAACCAATTCTTAAGTTTATCACAAGTGAATTTGTTACTACAAAGCATTTGACAAATACTGAGTACAGATTCTGCTGAACATTATGATGGCTGCATGGCATTAAGAGCAAATTTATGAAAGCTTTTTGGGGGGCAAAATAAAAGGTTACTTTTCAAAGCATCTAGTACTCACTATAAATGTCAGCTTTCTTCAGCTAAATAAAAATGGTCTCTCCAACCCAAAGTCATACCAAGTGCACAGTTATTCACCTTTTACTGGAGGATTAGTATTCTAGAAAGCACTGAAATACAGTACATAAATTTTTATTCAGTGCTAAAGTACTATCAGTATTTTAAAACAAATTTTTATTTAATATATTCAAAGAACAAATTTCCTTTTCCAGTTTCACATGTTGTATCCATGTTATCTATATATCATTATTCAACATAAGTATTAGTGTCTGTAATCTACCATCCTCACAGGTTTTTTTTTTTCTCTTGTGTCACACACTTACACAAAGGGAGCTAACTTCAAATACATCAAGTTCTACATACAATTACAAACCATCATTTTAATATATTTCAAATTTTAAAAGATCACCACTTCTAAACCTTTAAAAGCATTAAGGACATTCAAAAAATAATCCAAATATATTAGAGACAACATGAAATGTATGCCTTACTATACAGAGAAGTATATAAGGCATATGTGAAGTTTCAGTATTTTAATATTTTCTAGAACTCTAATGAGTACAGAGAAGTGGAAGAAAGGAGAACTGGTGAGACATAATATCAGTTCAAATAAAAAGATAAAAAGCATCCAATACTTATTTAAAAATGTGTGACTTGGGTAAGTTTATTCCTTAAAAATACCATGTCCCGTTGCTCTCCCCTACTACTTTATTTATTAACACAAATAACTGGTGGCTCCAGCAGCCTTTGTCATCTCACATGTAAAATATTATCATTTCATTCTGTCGTGTACAAGCGCTCTGCAGTTCTGCCCACTGGAGACTCCCCTTTCCCATGGCTGAGAATGCTGGCACAAAATGGCAGGAAGCAGAAAGGGGAAGAACCCTCGAAGTGCCACTGGCCACGTGGTGAGGTGGGAAACTGTTTGCACGGGCTCCCCGCCAGGGAAGGCGATCCACACCTGGCTGCCTTGCAGGAAAGCACTGATTTCTGTATTTAAAGACTAACATTGCTAAAGTATTTGCTATATATTTGAAAACTTGACACCTCAATCATTAAAGAGCATTAGTGACCACACTCCATGCATACCTGAACCTTTCCTTCCTGCGGAGATGCTAACCTCTATGTCTTGGTCTCCATAGGGAACGTGGCACAACTAGAGCTGCTGAGGAAACCATATCTTTAAACGGTCTGCCTTTAGCATACATAAATTCCATGGGGTGTTTCTCAAGTATTTATTGCACTTATAGGGAATTATGAAACAACCAAGAGCAAAAGGTGTCACCATGCAAATAGTTGATGTAAATGCTTGCTTTTGCGACTATTTCAGATACACAGAATTACTTTTTTTGGTAATTCTCAAAACCAAATCACATCAGTGGTAAAGGTTTTGAGAATGACCATGCTGTCTGCAGGGACTGGGACAAACTTGGGAACTCCATAAAGGCAAAACAGTCACAGGAATGGCTTGAAAACATTTGAGCCTGTGTGGTAAGGAAACTGTGGGCGACTTGCATGAAGACAAGCAGCTGGAAGCAGCTTTTCACTCCTCAATGAAGGACAGTGCTTTAAGAAAACATATGTAAGCAAATATGTTGGAGAGTTAAGTAACAAGCCTTTCAAAACGTCCTATTCATTTCAGCTCATCTGCAACACACAGTTCCAAGCTATCTCCCCAAAGGTTCACTTTTTCAGAGAAGCATAGGAATGACTGGCACATAATTTTCATGCACAATGATTATCTGAAATTAATAATTCAGTGTTCTCATTTTCTCAGTGAGGGACATGTATTTTAAAAAACAAAAAACTCATCTCGTATTCCAATGTTGTTCAGTTTCCCTGAATGCAAAAAAGCTTAGTATGCAGGACGCAAACTTTTAAGTGTAATTATTAGCAAAACAAACATTTCACATATTTACAATGTTTATATAAAACTACTTCCATATTCTTTGAGAACATAATACTTTTCAAGTGTTTAATATGCTTCTTATAAATTGGTACCATGAAACCCCAGATTTTGCTAGATTGGTCTGAAGTCTTTTGAAAGATATAGGCGTGCTGTTGATATATCTTAGTGAATATTAGAGCCAAGGAACTAAGTATTTTTAACCTATAGGCGGCAAAACCCAGCCATTTTGAATTAGTGTTTATAACACAAAATTTAAACATGTATGAATAACATTTAACAGGAAACCCTGTCTTACTTATTTCCTAAAAAAAGTAATGGATGGAATACTAATATACATTAAAAAGTTACTCTTAAAGCATTTTTTTTTCCCCAAGATGAAGCAGAAAGATACCAGAAAAAAGTTCAAATTTAGAGCATGGAAGAAATCTGACAGTATTTTTACTTCCTGTGTATTACTTGTTGCAATATTCATGTACACATACACAAATGCAAAGTTGCATTTCAAAATAATA